TTTGACTCTCCACACCTTCAGGAGAGACTCAAAGGGAGCACCCAGACGCCAACCGGTGCCTCAGAACCTGCAGCCAAAAAAGGGTGGATGAGCAACGGAGAAATGATACCCCGTTTGACTCTCCACACCTTCAAGAGAGGCTCAAAGAGAGCACCCAGACGCCAACTGGTGCCTCAGGACCTGCAGCCAAAAAAGGGTGGATGAGCAACGGAGAAATGATACCCCGTTTGACTCTCCACAACTACAAGCGAGACTCAAAGAGAGCACCCAGACGCCAACTGGTGCCTCAGGACCTGCAGCCGAAATATGGTGGATGAGCTACGGAGAAATGATACCCAGTTTGACTCTCCACACCTTCAAGAGAGATTTAAAGAGAGCACACAGACGCCAACTGGTGCCTCAGGACCTGCAGCCGAAAAAGGGTGGATGAGCTACGGAGAAATGATTCCCCGTTTGACTCTCCAAAACTACAAGCGAGACTCAAAGAGAGCACCCAGACGCCAACTGGTGCCCCAGGACCTGCAGCCAAAAAAGGGTGGATGAGCAACGGAGAAATGATTCCTCGTTTGACTCTCCACACTTCGAGACTCAAAGTGAGCACCCAGACGCCAACTGGTGCCTCAGGACCTGCAGCCAAAAAAGGGTGGATGAGCTACAGAGAAATGATTCCTCGTTTGACTCTCCACACCTTCAAGAGAGACTCAAAGAGAGCACCCAGACGCCAACCAGTGCCTCAGGACCTGCAGCCAAAAAAGGGTGGATGAGCTACGGAGAAATGATACCCCGTTTGACTCTCCACAACTACAAGCGAGACTCAAGGAGAGCACCCAGATGCCAACCGGTGCCTCAGGACCTGCAGCCGCAAAAGGGTGGATGAGCTACGGAGAAATGATGCCCCGTTTGACTCCCACACCTTGAAGAGAGACTCAAAGAGAGCACCCAGACGCCAACTGGTGCCTCAGGACCTGCAGCCGCAAAAGGGTGGATGAGCTACGGAGAAATGATACCCAGTTTGACTCTCCACACCTTCAAGAGAGATTCAAAGAGAGCACCCAGACGCCAACTGGTGCCTCAGGACCTGCAGCTGAAAAAGGGTGGATGAGCTACGGAGAAATGATACCCCGTTTGACTCTCCACACCTTCAAGAGAGACTCAAAGAGAGCACCCAGACGCCAACTGGTGCCTCAGGACTTGCAACTGAAAAAGGGTGGATGAGCTACGGAGAAATGATACCCAGTTTGACTCTCCACACCTTTGAGAGAGACTCAAAGAGAGCACCCAGACGCCAACTGGTGCCTCAGGACCTGCAGCCAAAAAAGGGTGGATGAGCTAC